TATTCGAACAGTTATTCAAGCAGTCCTAAATCTAAAGTTTCGAAGAACTATTCTCGTTCTAATCAGTACTATCAAGGDTATGTCATTGGATCACCCAATTACTCTTCAAAGATGAAAAGCATATGGGTTAGTAAGTCTGATTCTGTTTTATCTTATGCACCTGTTGGTACTAACAATTTTCCTTGCATTGTGAAGTCTACTAATGATTTGATTAATCTTCGCAAGAGAAGGATTTTGTGCTCAACATGCAGAACCAACAATTTTGTAAATAATAAATGGTTCAACAGGTGGCATGGAGATAACAGTTATCATGACAACTGGAAAGGTAAGAACATGTATGATCCCAATTACTTATATGATTCATATTTTAATCCTGGTCATCCTGTTCATAGTGCTGAAACGAATACATATTATAGAAAGAAATGATTATACCCCAACCAAATACTAACATATTAGGACCCAAGTCTGTTTGGGTACCAAAATCTACTTGATTTGGTTTTGCAGGTGTGTCCATCTTATGCTGATCAGAATATCAATTTTCTGTGATTCACCTATGCAGGGGAGTTGTACATTATTTCAAACCAAGGCTTCTGAACATTTCAGTTCAGGACCCATGCTTTACCGAGTGTGGTTTCTAAACACCCAGTTTAGAACCCGTACTTAAAATGTTTTTCTTTTTATTTTTTTTGAGCTTAAAAGATTTATTACTTAAATCTACTTTCTAGGGGGAGTTTCCTTAGAAAGTTCAATAATTGGTTTTGGAAATTGGTTTTTTTTTTAAAACGAGTACATTCTCTGAACAGGTATTTCTTGAGATTTTACTTGCGTAAATTTTCATCGTACATAATTCCAATACCTGTTTCAGCTATTCTTCATACTGTTATTATCACGTCTCTTATACGAAAATCATTTTCGGTGATAATACACTCGTTTGTATTCAAAATTGTTTTSTRATWTTATATTTTTCTTTGACTGATACATATTCATTTTTTTCTAATATCAGAATCTGTAAACTTGTTCTTACAGATCTTCATTCATTTCTCTCATACATTTCAAATAATCGAATCATTGTCGCTTCATTCTTTTAGTGATCGTACTTAAAGCCAAATTATTTGATCAAACTTTTATCTGATCATTGTGCTTTAATGAAATAATTTTGTTGATCATCCATTATGATCATATGTGCATCACTCTAAACTTTTAGGAGGGACTGAGTGCTTATCAGAAATACCTCTATGGAATGTCAAAACCGACAGACCTACCCAAGAGGACAACCATATCTGAGTGAG